TTTGATTTTCCAGAAATCCTATTTTGGGAAAATTCATAACGGTTATTATTTTCTCAAATTCTTGTTGACAACAATATTCTCTATTCAAATCACTATTTGAATTTTTTCTAGCACTTAAGGCTACGAAAAAAAATCCAAATTACATCCTGTTGAATAATTTTGGGAGCCACTGTATATTATGAAGACTATTGACATATTTATGTTATTTTCTATGAGAAATTCAATGAACAAGAATAACTCTGTATGAGTCTTACCTTCTATCTAAAAATTTTTGATAAGTCTATATAGACTATATTAGTTATATTGNATCTACTGTTGTCTTCAATAAGAAAAATAATAAACTTTCTATAATATTTCTTAACGGAGAACCATGGATCATTATTTCGACAGTCAACTTTGCATAAACTATATTAGTTATATTGGTTTTAGTTTAAGAAAGATCTAGTCAATATCAAGGATAAAAATTTTCGTTTTTTATTATTCTGATCTTTAATACTGAAAGAAAGAATTATCTTGATGATAATAATATTTGTGAATGAGTATGCTCAGTTCTTTATATAATAACAGTTTGGCTTCATATTTGAATAGGGATTTTTTGTTTTTGAATGAATAGTAGATAAATTATGAAAAAAAAATCTTGTTCGATTGATGAATATTCTTGAATGATTTATTCAATGCAAAATAAATATAAAAATTTGAAATTTATTATTTAAAGAAAACGAATTTTATATATTAAAGAGAAATAAAATGTAAAATCAGTTTGAAGGAAGAAGAAAATCTGGTCTTTGAGGCCAAATAATATTTTGTCCATGTTGTTCAGTTTTAAGAAAATCTTGAACAAAATCTAAAAGACTTGAATATTTAATATCATAATAAATCTGATCATGTTGATTTGGATCATCATGATATTGATTATCAATAAAAATAAGTTTTGTATGAACACCTTGAATATCTTTAAAATTTCTTCTTAAATCATCAACAAATGCAATTGGATGTAAATCTTCAATAGTTTTTTTTTTTGGATTATTATTAAAATTATGTTTATCATAACCTGTACTAATTATTTTATCAATAGGAAATCCATGTAAACGAAAATTTTCTAATCGATGTTCAATAAATTGAGCAGGCATTGCTGTAACACAAACTAATTCATAACCAGCTTTATGTAATAAATTACATGCTTGAAGTGCTCCATCATACATTGGCATTTTTCTCCAACCATGTTCATCCCATACTTTATCAAATTCTTTTTTTTCTTCATCATTAAACTTAACACCATACTTATTTGTAGCCTATTTTATTTATATATATATAATAAAAATGAAATTTTTAATAAATATAAATAAACTTACATGATAAGATTTAGGTGAAACAATTGTTAATTCTTTTCCAAATGCTTTTTCATAAATATTTGCAAAATTTGTATGATAATCCAATAGAACTCCATCACAATCAAGAGCTATGATTGCTTTTTTATTTTTATTTGTAAATGAAATTTTATCTTTTGTCATATTTCAATATCAATAACAAAATTCAATCAACTATTTATATATTATTCTGTTCCTTCCACGTCATATTATATTATGACGAAATTTTTCTTTTTTATAAGCCTTGCGTAATTACATCTACACATTTTCACTCAAATATTATTCGAAGAAATAAATCACAGTTTGTTTTATTTGTCATATTTATCAGTTTTTTTTTTACGAAAAAAAATCGTTTTATTTCACGATTTGTGTCATTAAATGTTATTAGGTAATATTCAAAGAATCCTTCGAACTAAAACTAAACATTCTTTTATGCAAAGTTGACTGTCGAAATAATGATCCATGGTTCTCCGTTAAGAAATATTATAGAAAGTTTATTATTTTTCTTATTGAAGACAACAGTAGATAATTCGAGAAATTGATCAAGAAATTGTTTCCGTTTATGTAGAAATAATTTACCTAACATAAAGTAACATATATCATCAAGGGAAAATGAAAAACAAAACATAAACATATATCTACCAATTATTATTTCATGCATTAGTTTTCATTTTCGACTTCTACTTATTAAGATAACGGGTGGCCCAGATTAAATGGACCTCTCAGTATTTTGACTATAACTTTTTTTCTTTTTGATCTTTAGAGTTAATTGTTTTTCCAAAAGATGCGCCGTCAAATTCGCTGTAAAATCATAATCAAACTTATTTGTGTAGAAAGTTAAGGAAAAACGTTAAACGAAGATTATCCGACACATTAAAAGTACCCAACTTTCAAAGTTAATCGGTGTTTGTATCTCTTTTTTTTTATCGTTAAGTACGTCTATTTGAAAAGCAAAGTATACCATAAGACGCAGCGTGAAAAGTTCTATAAGTTAAATTGAAAACCTTATTTTATACATGCACTCTTTGTTTTCAAAATGGACGAAATTCTGTGCGACCAATTTTCGACGCTGCGAACAAGATCAGTTTTTGGTATACTACAAATTCATTTTTTCTTATTTCATCTTTTTATTGCCTAATATGTTGTATTAAAAGAAAAGAAAATATACTACAAGATGCAGCATGAAAAGCTCTACAATCTACAAAGAACAGTTTATTTTATATATATGCATCTTTTGTTTTTATAATAAGCAAAGCTCTGTGCGACCAAAAATGATCTTGTTCGCAGCATCGAAAATTGGTCGCATAGAATTTTGTCCATTTTGAAAACAAAGAGTGCTTGCATAAAACAAGGTTTTTAATGTAACTTGTAGAGCTTTTCACGTTGCATCGTATGGTATAATTTACTTCTAAAATAATGTTCTTGGCGATAGAAAAAAGAGATACAAACATCGGACACTTATGAGACATCCGTCCGCTTTGAAAGTTGGGTACTTTTAATGTGTTGGATAATCTTCGTTTAATTTTTTTCCTTAACTTTCTACACAAATAAGTTTGATTATGATTTTACAGAGAATTTGACGGCGCATCTTTTGGAAAAACAATTAGCTCTAAAGATTAAAAAGAAAAAAAGTTATAGTCAAAATACTGATAGGTCCATTTAATTTGGACCACCCGTTAGAAATGAATCAGAGATCGAAAACTCGACGAGTGACATCGGCTCGACTTGCTTCTCTATGAAGAGACGAGGTGAGTAAGAGTTGATATGAAATTTGATAATTTACTCATCTGGCTACTATACAGTTTATGCTACATAGATATTATAATAGAATCGAAAAAAATAAATAAATATAAAACGAGATAAAATTAAATAACTATCATATCCATAGATTTTGAATGAAGAGAATAATAGATAATTGTTCAATAAATAATTTCGTATATTATTTCGATAAAACATAATATAAAATTCGTCAAAAATTTGAGAGTTTTTAAAAACTTCTAATGAATATACTTACTATCATCAGCAAACAATAACAACAACAACAACAACACAAGTTGAGAATAATTTCATAAATAATATTAAACTGAATAATTTAATAAGATAATATTTTGAATAAAGAGAAAGAGAATCTATAAGAAATATATTTCGATCTATATTTATCTAATAGTTTTTTATATGTTTTTCTTTTTGTTATTGTTTCGTGATTATAATAGATATGATAACCAAAAACTTGAACAAAAAAATTATTGAATTATGATAGAAGTCAAACATTTTATCTGTTATTTACACATTTAATTATTTACTCAACTATTATTCATTCTCCTCTTCCTGTTGGATTTATATAAATGATCGTTATTCACATTTTTTTCTAACATTCACTTTAATTTACTCTATGAACGACGTTGACAATCAATAGCTATTATATTTTTCTCTCATTATTTTCTTTTTTTAAATTATTTATATAAATTAAAACTATTAAATGTCAAGAAACTGATGAACTATTAAGAAAAGTTTATATTACGGTTATAATTCTATTGGATGAACTGGTTTTTGTACTAATAGTAGAAAACTGTTTTAGAGTCTTTATTCAATGATATGGATATCTCAAATATTCTTATAAGTAACAATTTCTAGTTTAATACACAAAAAAATTCATTTTACGAGATAGAAAAACAAAATCATATGAAAAAAAATTGTTTCTTGAATAGTTTCTATTTTGATGTATATAAAGAAAGAAAAATAGATCTGATTGACAGAAAATGTACATTAATAAGATAAAATGCAATAAATTCAACATAGTTCTACATGTTTTTCTTTAGCACTTCGGACAGAATTTTAGTTGTGTATTGAAATTGAATGCCTTACTTTGGAAGATTATTTGAACAATTCATATTATTGAATTAAACTTCGAACTGTACTCTACAATTATAATTAAAAAATAGTTTATCCAATAGAGAACCGTGATGGAAAGATGAATTTTTCTTTTTTTAGTGAAATTACTTTCCAGATAATCCTATAGTTTATTTGATCTCAGGAGTGTGCCGAAGTCACAAAAAATTCGGGGTGTCTATGAATTATGAGATCGATAAGAAAAATTTTGCTAAATTGATCAAACATCAGAATGATCGAGCAATTTTTTGAGAATTGGTGAGTAGAAAAACGAAAAAAAAAATTTTGAATTTTACTGTGAAAGAATGAAAATTTCTCAAGATTGAGAATTCTTGCCATTTGGAATACTTGTATTTGCTCTTATGAGATAAAAGAAATAGGAATTTTTAGATGAGCCTAAAAATACATAAGGAAACATATCTTTTTACATTAAGTTCTAGACGAAGCGCTTTTTGATCGATTTGTGGATCTCTATTCTCTACCTTGTTTCTATCAAAATTTATTCAAAAAATCTCGAATGGTCCTTGATTTTAAAGTAGACACTACTTAGTATAACTGTCACATATAATAAATAAATAGTTTTTAACAATATTTTATTATTATGATATTAGTTTATGTATGATCAAATATCATAGAAAACAAGAAAAAGAAAACATTATTTTCTCTATCAGACTTAATATAAAAAGAAAATTGTTTCAAATTTTCTATGCATAAATAAAACATCTCCGTCACTTCTTTTCGAATAGTTTTAAGTATATTATAGAAGAATTCGAGGAAGTTTTTCCTTTTTATGTATAATATATTGATAGTCGAAAAGATGTTTCATAGCTATTCAACTTGGATTTTGTTTCATTAAAGAAAACTTTCACTTTTGAATTTAAGTCAACATTGTACTATATTTTATTGTTGACAGTCAGGCTTTATCGGTGAGAATAGTTGAAAAATTATATGAATGATTTCATGAAGGTCGACAATACGATCTTGCTTATCGATCGTCGAACGAACATGTGAAAAGATCGAGCAGATCCATTGTCTTATTAATAATGATTCTTATATTATGATTGACGAATTTCAATTACAAACTAATCTAAATCATAACATTATCCAACAAATAATCTTTAATGATGATAAACCTTAAAAATAAGACATATCTCGAACTCTAACTATCGTAACAGCTGACATTGAGAATGATCATTAAAAATATGTTCTAAATTACAGATCTATTAGATTGTTTTTTGTCTTCAACGTCTTTACGACCTTCACAAAACTATTCATGGCATTTTTCAACTGTTCCAAGAGATCGAGTTTGACTACTGAAAACAAAATATATTTCATCATGTATAAATCTTGCTTGAATATTAATTTATATAGAAAAAAGTTTAACAATAATATGAAAAGTTTTTGACTATAAAAAGAATATTACAGTATGACTATCGACTAAATATTAATTTAAACATAGTTTTAATAGATAATTATAAGCTCATAGAAACTGTTTCAATAGAAAAGCAAACGGTCAAATTCAATATAAGATAATATCTATGAAAATTTAATAAAAATAAAATAATATCTTCATTAAATGACTCTTTTAATAAAGAGATAATAATATATAAATCAATGATAATATTCTTCTATTTTAACATCATAATGTCTTGAATATTATATTATTTTGTTGCCTTATCTATTCATTAACTGTATTATAATTGTATATTGAACGAATAAAAATCTTGACATGAGTTAGATATTTATATCTATGGTTATGTATCACATCTTATTTTAGCTTTTCATGTTGTAAAAGTTTTTTTTTCCGAATCATCTTTAATTATAATAATATAATGAAATTCTTTTAAACAATTGAACGGACGGGGGACGTTTTAGGTGCATTTCGGCCCAATTAGAAAGTGAAGGTAGAATAGCCTGAAACTTTCAGCAAATGCTCAACTACATGTTAGTAGTCATTGCTGAAAATTTCAGCTTGATC